TTATTATTATTATTATTATTATTATTATTATTATTATTAAATCACCTTTTTCCATATCCCTAAAAGAAGAAAACAGAAGCAGCATCAAGCCAATAGACCAATCTTATCTTCTAACCATTGTCCCATTAACAACTGAAATAAAATAGAATAAAACAAAATAACAAAACCAGCAGGCAGACAATACAATATCAAAAACACACATAAATGAAAGGTGGGCATATCACCTTAAAATAGTAAAATTAGTATATACAGAGAATGCAAGACAGAACAAACTAATAAGGGGAAAATCTGCTTATAGTGACTGATGTCAGGAGGTCCAGAATGAAAGAAGTATGAATATTATGTAGTTTGATGGAAGCATGAATGATAGAATGAAAGGAAGAAAAAGGGAAGTCTGTTGGAAAGAGGAGAGAAAGAGAAGAGAAGAAAAAAATCTAAAATGTTGGGCCTTTGCAGGCTGCTAGAAATAGTGCAAACTGAGTCCACTTTAACTGTCCTGGCTCAGTGCTAAGGAATCATGGGAATTGTATTTTTTTCTGGGACATTGAGCCTTCTCTGTCAGAGAGCTCTGGTGCCACAATAAACTACAGTTCCCATGATTCCCTGGCACTGAGCCAGGGCAGTTAAAGTGGACTCCATTTGCCCTATTTCTGGCAGTCTGCAAAGGCCCAATATCTGCTCTTCCCTAATCTATGCTATGTAAGATTATGCCATATTAATGTAAAATGTGTGAGACTTTAAAATTCAATAAAAAAAACACATACATAAATAAGTTCACATACAATATCACTTCCTTATTCCACCTCTTTTGAGTTATTATATTTTTCCTGATTTATATCTGTTCCTTTTGGTTTGGTTTGGTTTTTACATTTCTTCCCTTGGTAAAATAGTATAGAGATAGCTATAAGACTCATTGTGCGTCTTGTAGTTCTCATTGTTTTAATATCAATTTACATTTCCTTCTACGTGTCCCCATAGAGAGACAACGCTTTCCCAATTATCCTCAGATTCCTTGGTGGTCTTACTACCGAGATATGTTGTTAATTTATCCATCTCTTGCATTTTGATCAATTTTATAATCCGCTCTTCTGTCATTGATATTTCTTTATTCCTCCATTTTTTAAAGAAATATTTTGCCATCAACTCACATTATAGTGGCAGCTTGGGCTGGTCACACTCTCTCAGCCTCAGAGGAGAGCAATGGCAAACCCCCCTCTGAATAAATCTTGCCAAGCAAACCCCATGATAGGTTCACCGTAGGGTCGCCATAATTCGGAAACAACTTGAAGGCACACAACACCTTGCTCACCTGACAGTGGAAACCATCCTTTTTGGCCAGCCACAGA